GGTAGTGGGCCAGGGATTGGGGACCCCTGTTCTAGGTGATCTAGTCATGCCCATGCTGTATTGAAGATTGCCACTTGCAGTGTAAAGAGTAAATGACAGGGAATGAATTTATGACTGAAATGAAAAAATATATATGCATATGTGAATTTGTGAAGGGCAAGCTATAATAAATCTAAAAGAAGATGGTCTGATTCTGTGGATCGCATTGATGAATAAATGCAGAGAAGTGAAGAAATATGTTTAATGAATTCATTAACGAATGGGCTAAAACAAATGCTGGAAAGTATGAATTGATGATATCTAAGTTGTTGTAAGTCAGTTGCATATGAAACTAAGAGAGCATGTTATTCTCCATAAAAGTCATAATGGAATAACCAGAGATGAGTGTTGGGGAAAATAATGCAACATTCTTAATGACTACAATCTGGAGAGAACAATGTTCTGAATGGATGAGTGGAACAAAATGAGAGGCAGCAGAAAAGCTGGGCCTTTGAAGGTCCCAAATCTCACTGCTGATGGTTTGGTGAGTTTCTTTTTAGAAAAATAGCTGTTTTGAATACATAGATTAAACATAAACAGAATATAATTCTAAAATCATAGTTGGTTTGATTGTTTTTAATGAAGAATTGAGATAGTTTGTGAAGGATACATACAAGATAATAAAAACATTCTGAATGTGGGACAAGGCAGAGTGACTGCATAAAACAATCCATAACGATCATAAAGCATAAATCTTCTGTGAAAAAATAATTACTCTCTCAACAGAATTAATGGAAAGTAGATAAAAATGTGTAGAGTGACAAGAATGATATTCCACTGGACAGAAAAAGTGACATGACAGAATGATATAATGGTGGCTCTATAATTATACATGTCCACTTGGATGGGTCTCCTAGAAGAGAGAGGTGAATCAAAAATCGATCTCAATCTAAACACCATAACAAAAGTCCAAATGAAATAGAAGCTTTGAATATCAACATTTTCTGGATGAATACAAGATAAATGTTAGTGAAGTGAGTATCTCAGAAGCACGTGGGATTATTAGTCTGAGAGATTGAAGATTAAAAGAGATAGAGAAAATGCACAACATTTTTGATGGAAATAAAAAGTGACTTGGAAGTAGATGTGGAGGGCTAACGCCACATTGCCATAACTTCTTCTGAGGGTGAGAGAGTATCAGCCAATTGACTTAGTTCCTAAGGCAGGGCTAGAATTTACAGTCCCCTCATTGCTTGCCTGATACTTTCATTAATACACCAAACCAGGTTTCCTTGGATGATGGGATATCGTACAAATGTGAAGGAAGTGAATACTGTAAATGGAATTGATGGGTAAATAAATTGATATTGAAGAGTGAGTAAGACTAGGGTGTGCACCCTTGGTTAATTAATGCATTTCGGATAAATATCTGGATAAATAGCCTGAAAATAATTAAAAAGTTTGGTTAAGATGGTTTCTAGTTCAGAGATGTCAATAATCATATTCATTTGTTTTTAGATAACTGTTACGTCTGGGAGAGGCAGGTACGACGGGAGTTTCAGGGCTGGCCATTACCGGGGAAGGAGGGCTCGCTAGGTTACAGCGATCCCTCGTTCTGGCCCTGAAAACTCAACCCAAGGACCAGGTGGCAAGAGATGTTAGGGCCCTCGTCTCAGGTTGCTGCTGCTAAATGCCAGGCCTGTGATCCAGAAAGTTCCCCTCGTCCGGGATTTAATATTAGACGAGGGGGCAGATCTGGCATGTATTACTGAAACCTGGCTGGGCCATGAGGGAGGAGTCCCCCTCTCAGAAATGCTGCACCAACCACGACACCAGTGAAGGGGTGGGGGAGTGGCAGTCATCCGGAAATCATTAGTACCTCGTGGGATCCCTGCTCCGGAGACTGTCGGGTGTGAGTCCCTTCTGGTGAAGCTGGACCTTGGGGGTCAAGTGGGCTTGTTTCTAACGTACCTACCTCCCAGCTGCGTTACAACAGCTCTGCCTTCGCTCCTNGAGGTCCTTTGCGGGTGGCCAGTTCTAGCTGCCTGCAAAGGACTTTCCCACGTTTGCTTTGGCAGAAATCACTGCGCGGCAGTTAGAAACTGCTGTGCGGGGTTTTCTTGCCACGTGCACGGCCGCGCAGCCACGCACCTTAGAGGAAACAGTGCTTCTCTCCCCTTCTCTTCAAATCTACATGAAAAAGCTGAGTGACTATCTGCCAACCTGACGTCAGGTATTATCAATATACAGATGATACTCAGTTCTGAATTTCTCACCTAGCTGGTTAAAAAACTATGGATGGAAACTTATCAAGGAGATATCAAACTTAGAAATAAGGAGAAATTTTCCAATAGAACAAGTAATCAAGCTTCCCTCCAAAAGTTGTAGGTGTTCTTGTCATTGGAGGTTTTTAAGAAGAGATCAGACAGCCATTTGCCTGGAATGGTATATTTATTCTGTCTCTCATGTACTTGTTACTTCTCAGTTGGTCCAGAATGCGGCAGCATAGGCAGCGAAAGGGGCACCACATTATCCACATATCACATGTGACATCCACATATCACATAGGCAATGAAAGGGGCACCACATTACAATTTTCTCCAGTCACAGGAGGACACTCCTTCCTTTGCAACACTTCCTGAATGCCTGAACAGCAGGAAGAGCCACAACCAAGCCCCTGGTCAAAGACTCGGACACCCGAGTGTGGGTTGGAACTGTAATTGGAGAAAGCCTCTCAGACTTGACCTGTTGAGGAGGGAGGGGGAAGCACACTCAGACTTGCAAGATGCAGATGTTGTAACATTATTAGATTTTTTTCTCATTTTAAAAAAATAAAAGATCAAGATTGTATATCTAATATTCCTGCTACCTATTTTCCCAACAACAACCCTGCCAGGCGGATTGGGCTGACAAAGAGATGTTAAAGAGAAGTTAAAATCCACTCCTCTCCTAGAAAAATGAAATATCATGGGAAATATTGAAAAGGCAGAATATTATATTTCCCTGATAAGAAATGGAGAAACATGTTTTAGGCAGGAAACAGGCTCACTCTTAATAGCCCCCACCTTTGTCAATGAGCCATTAAAAGGCCAGAGTCAGTCTATTCTACATAACAAAGACCTCCTCGCATTCAGCTCCAGGGTGAGGGGATTAAGGCATGATAGTATTAGCCCTTTACCTATCTCACCACAGGGCACCTGGGAAGAGGAAATGCTCAACCAAACTTGGACTCAAAACATAGCCTACAGAGTTGCCCCTGTATGGCCCCATGGGAGTCTGACAACCAATCAAAATACAAGATCAAGATCAAAGGCCAGAGAGNAGCTATATGAATGTTGTGAAATTTTAATGTCTGTTTTTTTAATTTTTATATGTTCCCCCTTACTACTTTTATCTGTAAGCTGCCCTGAGTCTCTCGAGAGTGGGCGGCATACAAATCCTAATAAATCGAAATTGAATCGAAATCGAATCGGATTTGAATAGTATCACAAGGGCATGGAGAGATACTGGTCTCCAACTCCTGCCAAAATGTCCCACTGCCGGTGTCCCAGATGATTGTCCTCAATGAGACTAAGTTGAAACTGATCAAGGAGGCACCACAGATTACATTCAGCTTTACCATTTCAGTTTTTGAAAACTTTTTCTAACAACAACTCAGATGCCTAGATTCTTGGATACATTTCAGAAGTTATATCATGCTTTTATCTAACCGGTGTTTTCTATTGCTGGTGATTGATTGGACCAGTACTTTCTGTCAGATGTTCCCAGGGATGCAGGAAAAACATCCAGCAATAAATCAGTCAATGCAATAATAATGGAAACATTCTTATTTATTCAACATGTTGAGGGGATTTTCTTTTGTCTTTGCAAATGCTTCCCATTTATAATTATCTGAAGTGACATTTGTTAGTATTTCACTCTATTTTAGTTTTAATTTCAAAAAAGAATCTCGCGTACTGTAAATCCTGCAATAAATCATTTTTTCCCCCCAAATGCAGCACAGGTAAACATCTTTCATTCGTTAATAACCTTCTAAAAATATCTGGCCCTGACAGATTATTAACATCATATGTTATCATCTAGCTACCAAGAGGGAGGAAAATGATTAAAAGGAAGAAAAGAAAGAAAGTACAAGGTATGCTAAATTCAAAAAGCAAAATTAGAACTCCCTCCTAAACATTATTCGAAATAAATTAGTCTTAACTCCTAATCAGTTCTATGTCACTTTCTATTCAACTCCTTTGCTATTTTCAGCATCAGGAAACAGGCAGGAGAGCAGGTAGGAGAAAGGGAAAGACGATATCACTGGACTTTAAGCTGAAATCTCAACTGTAAACCAAACATTTTTTTTCACAGGACACAACTACTTTCCCAAATCTTACATCTTGCACAAATTCCCCATCCAATTTGGATTTTCTTTAATAGAAGATTTTTTAAAAAATAGAAAACAGGAAAGATAGAGGAAGAAAACAAAGATAATATAAACATGGAATGAATATGGTGTCAGCTACAAGTTTACCTTTAGCTAACAGGTGAAGGCAAAGACTTCATAAAAAAGATGGGTTATGAATGAAAGAAGTAAAGATTAACTGTGCAGTTTCAGATCTAAAGTAATGGGAAGAAAAAAGGAGCCAATCCTTTTAAGGACCAGGAAATCTTTGGACCATTGATGATAGAAGAACTGGAGGAAACTGATAGGGTATAAGCAGCAGAGGTGGGTTCCATCAGGCAATACTGTCGGTTCGCTTGTGTGCGTGCTGTGCACACACACATCAGAGGTGGGTTCCTGCCAGTTCATACCAATTCAGTAGAACCAGTTCGTCAAATCTACCGAACCGGTTAGAAGAGGTTCCACCAGTGGACCCGGAAAGCAGGCCACACCTACAGAAGAGGTTCCNCCAGTGGTTCCCAAACTTGGCAACTTTTAAGACTTGTGGACTTTAACTCCCAGAGTTCTCCAGCCAGAAGAGCTAGCTGGAGAATTCTGGGAGTTGAAGTCCACAAGTCTTAAAGTTGCCAAGTTTGGGAACCACTGGTCTACCCCATGAAATATTTTTGCACATGCTAAAGAATATTCTACGCAATTGCAGAGGCAGTAGGCAAACTTACGTTGATTAGCTTTTTCCTTGTCTTGTGCCTTCACTCAAACACACACTGGATAGAAGTGCTTACAGTTACAATTAGAATTCTATATGTAACTTGTAACACTTTATTCTGATTCGAACTGTCTCATTTCCAACTTTTGGGGTCCTCAAAAGACGCAGTTATTGCAACAACTGGATTCTAAAACTATTTTTTTTTGCAATGCAGGAAATCATTGGCTTGTAATCTTAGGAACTTATTCCCTCTCAATTTAAGAACTAAGGTAGTATTTTTTTTTTAATATTCAGAATCACTGGATGTTCCAAATCATGTCTGCAGCCTTTTTCTTTAAAAAAACAAAACAAAACCCGACCCAGACTTTGAGGAAGAAACGGGCACAATTGCAACTAGAATGCTAGTAGAGCAGGCATGAATTCAGACAGCCTGGATTGAGCATGTTTTCTGTGGCGCTGTCTTATGTTGCTTCCTTTTGAGTATTGTATAATAAACTCTTCAAGAATGTCTGCAGTGAAATTCTACAATGGCTTTTGTGTGGTGTTCAGTGTATCAAGGCATGCGTTTTCGATAATGACTTCTCTTTGTGCTTTTCTTCAAGATTGAATCTGGGCAATAAAAAAAGTATTTATTGAAACTTGTGTGTCTCTCCCTTAACATTTCTACAAAGCCTTTGAGAAAATATTCCCACTTCTAGCAGTTTTTAATCATTTCCCATGTCCCGGAATTGTTGGCATACATCAGTTTTGCTCTCATTTGGAGAAAGGATGAGTAGGACAAATCATGTATGTTCCCTTGTTGCACTCTTTCCCTTAAGAATACAGTTTGCTGTTGCCAGTTTCACTTTGAACTATACCAATCTCTCAGGAACAGCAAAGAAACAGGTGCTCTACACAAGAAATTCTTCTACCATTTTGTTAAACTCTTCCGCAAACCGTAGGTGTAAATTATGTTTTCCTTCAGGCATAAAATGCAACCTGCAATGACAAAAGGTTGAATAGGTTAAAGTACGCCAAGGAAACTGGTACAAGACAACCTTGATTTGCTGTTTTCCAAAATGACACTAAAATTAGAAATGGCAGCCAATGGAAATCCCACTTTTGTCATTCTAGGCCAGTGGTTCCCAAACTTGGCAACTTTAAGACTTGTGGACTTCAACTCCCAGAATTCTCCAGCCAGCTCTGGAGAATTTAAATTTCCAGCAGTCCTCATCAATGGCCCCAGCTGGTAGGAAATATAGATCAGCAATATCTGGAGAATCATCCTTCCTCTACATCAGGTGTCAAACTCAGCAGAGCTGGCTGGAGAATTCTGGGAGTTGAAGTCCACAAGTCTTAAAGTTGCCAAGTTTGGGAACCACTGTTCTAGGCGTTGCGAGTTCTAGCACACCAAGGGACACACTGGGTTGGTAAAGATTACCCTTGTATATATAGAGAGAAATTGGGTGAATAGAAACAAATCAGTGGAGGAAGAGAAATGCATGATCTGAAGCCAAATCGTTGTAGTTGTAAGTCTACTCTGGGCTAAGGCCTGATCATTTCTTTAGGCCTCTGTAAGTATACAGGTATTGCAATAGAACTGATCTGTTTCTTTGAAGGACCTAAATCAGGTTACGGCTGATTTTAACTCCTTCCAAAGGAAAGACTGAATTACCAAATTTCCCTTTCCCTTTGGTTATGCTGGCTGTGGGCATGATGGAGGTTGAAGTCTTGAAGCATCTACAAGCAACAGATTGGGGACTAATAGGGGGCTGGTTTTGTCCCACAAAAATTTTCCTTAGAAATACGTATTTGTTCAGTGAAAAAAAGACTATAGTTTTGCCTCACCAAAAACCCATAATCTGCTTCCTAAGGAGCAATCCTTGATGTTTCTTCCTGTAGTTACTTGTCTCAGATGATAATCTCCAACCTTTTTGATAAGAGCCATGGTGGCCCGGTGGTTAGAAGGCAGTATTGCAGTCTAATTCTGCTGACTTGCCAATTGCCAGCAGTTCGAATCTCACCGGCTCAAGATTGATTCAAAATTCCATCCTTCCAAGGTCAGTAAAATGAGGACCCGCACTGTTGGTGACAATATTCTGACTCTGCAAACCGCTTAGAGAGGGCTGTGAAGCACCGTGAAGCGGTATATAAGTCTTAATGCTATTGCTCTTGGGCCTTAATGGATTCAAAATGAATTGAGTTTACCCTGGCAATATGTATGTTGCCAAAATCAAGGGGTGGTAGTGGAGGATAACCCAGTTAACATTTCGTCTTACTGCTCTTAACTCCAAATTTATTTTCATCCTGCCTTAATTATTTTTATAGATAACTCAAAAGCAGTCAATTAGAATACCACCTGTCGGCTGTGACCAGGGGGGCTTTTGCCCAGGTTCGCCTGGTGCACCAGTTGCGGCCCTACCTGGACCGGCAGGCACTTCAAATGGTCACTCACGCCCTCGTCACCCCTAGGCTTGATTACTGTAATGCACTTTACTTTGGGCTGCCCCTGAAGACTGTTCGGAGACTACAATTGGTCCAGAATGCGGCCGCGCGAGCGATATCGGGTGTACCTTGGT